TGCAAATCACTATTGTCTCGAGTGATTTGTCTTGAATGATCGTTTAAACTTCACTTGTACTTCATTTGAGTGTGAATAATTATCTTTATAACTTTGAAGAGTTAAACACTCAATTCAATTTGTTAGTAAATAAGATGGACTTGTTTGTTATAATCAAAACATTAAGTTCATGATCAACCATAGGTCAAAAAAATAGCCCCTGACCAGGGCAGTTCTTCAAGTAATGCAAAAGATGATGCACTGCCTTCATATGTGGAAGACGGGGCTGAGATAGAAACTGACTCAATTTATGGACAGCATATGTGATGTCTGGTTTAGATATGGTCAGATAAATCAATTTTCCCACCAACCGTCTGTAAGAAGTAGTATCAGATAATAAGTCACATTCATGTAAACTGAGAGATGATTTAGGATCCATAGGAGTGCTAACTGGTTTGCAATCCAGGTAGCCCGCATCTTCAAGCAATTGCAGTGCATAGCGCCTTTGAGAAATCACTATACCTGACTTGGATCGAGCAATTTCAATCCCCAGAAAATACTTCAAGCAGCCAAGATCTTTCAACTTGAAATGTGAATGTAGAAAAAACTTTAAAGAATCAATCACCTGAGAATTTGAGCCTGTGATGACAATGTCATCAACATACACCAATAGGCCACAAAATTATCACCTAAACCTTTTGTGAATAAAGAATAGTCAGCCTTCGACTGGATGAAACCATATTGCATGAGAACCTGTGAGAATGTAAAGCTCCATTGTCGGCTAGCTTGTTTCAACCCATATATGGACTTATGCAACTTACATACTAGTTTCCCTGACCTATTCGCATTCTTCTGAACAATGTAGCCAGGGGAAGATCCCTGTACACCTCCTCAAACAAATCACCATTTAAAAAAGCATTGTTTACATCAAGCTGGACTAGATTCCAGTGATGAGAAGCTGCAAGTGCCAAAAGTATCTTGACAGTAATAATATTTGCCACTGGAGATAAAGTATCAAAGTAGTCGAGACCCTCTTGTTGAGTGTATCCCTTTGTTACTAGGCGACCTTTATGCCTTTCAACTGTGCCATCTGATCTGTACTTAACTTTGTATACCCATCTACACCCCACGAACTGCTTACCAGGTGGTAGAGAGACCACAGACCAAGTGTGATTCTGTTCTATTACATCAAGTTCTAGCTTCATGGCATCACGCCATTCTGGATATTTTTCAGCCTGAAGAAAGGTGTTCGGTTCAGTGGTAGAAGATATGTTTAACACGAGATGTCTATGGTGAGTTGAAAGTTTCAGGTATGATATAAACTTGGCAAAATTATGAGGTGACTGAGAATGTGTTTGTGGATTCTGGGAGATCATATTGTAATGATAATCTTGGAGATATTTAGGAGGTTGTATGACTCTATGTGATTTCCTAATGTTGTTGGAAGAAATGATACCAATAGCTGGCTCATCAATTGGCTAGGAATCATGAGGTGTTGTTTGAGGTGGGATGCAATCCTCAACAGATTGCAAAGAGTTCTGTAGGTTTGAATGGGGTGAGGAATGATCATAAGGATCATGAATATCTGAATTAAGGTCAAGAAAATGATCAGTAGATTCTGAAATATCATGAGCATCAGGAATCTGTGAATTGAATAAGGAAGGATTTGGTAAGACAATGTCTGGAAAGGGCTCAGTGAGATGGTTTGAGCTATGGATTGAATGAAAAGGGAATATATTCTCATGGAATATAACATCTCGACACAAGAAAAATTGCTTGGAGGCTACATCATATAATTTGTAACATTTAACTCCAGGGGGATAACCCAAAAACACACAAGTTCGAGCTCTTGGTTGGAACTTAGTTTGATGAGCAGACAAGGTAGAAAGAGAAAGCTAAGCATCTAAAGACTCTAAGTGAGGAATAATCTACAGGTTTATTATAGAGTAAATCATGAGGTGTCTTATGTTTTAGAAGAGGAGAAGGCATTCGATTTATAAGGAAAGTGGCTGTCAACACACACTTAGACCAGAACTTGATTGGAACTCTAGATTGAAAATATAACACCCTAGCAACATTTAAAAGGTGCTGATGTTTACGTTCCACCACATAATTCTGCTGTGGCCTCTCAACACAGCTAAACTGATGTAAGGTACCTTTCTCTGCCAAAAATTCTGTGAGTGCCAATTCAAGAGCATTGTCTGATCTTAAGACTTTAATTTTGGCCTTAAATTGCGTTTGCACCATATTAAAGAATCTTGGAATGACTGTGCTAGCATCTGATTTGCATTTTAACAGATATATCCAAGTGAATCTAGATGAATCATCCACCACAGTTAAAAAGAATCTGAAACCCGTGTGTGAAGGAACATGGTATGGCCCCCAAATGCCAACATGAACAAGATCAAAAGGATGAGCAGAAATGTTGTTATGTGAAACAAAATATAACTTCCTCTGTTTAGCAAGTGGACATATATAACAAAGCATATTTTTATTGAAGCTTGTAACATCACAAGGTAAATGACCTTTTAACCAATCCAGTAGTTTAAAAGAAAGGTAACCCAACCTATTATGCTAAACATGCACAGACACATGATTTACATACGCACTACAAACAAAATTTAGAGTTTTAATGTCAAGAACATATAGATCTTGCACCCGTTCACCCCTACCAATCATCTTCCTGGTTCTGAATTCCTGAATGAGGAAATGATCATCAAAGAAACTAACGGTGAGTTGTGAATCAATTGTCAAAGCACTAACAGAGATCAGATTGAATTTGAACCGAGGCACAAATAAAACATCACGCAGCATAATGTTTGAATTCAGTTTAATATCACCACACATCTGGACTGAAATATGTGTGTGATTTGGTAAGTAACAATCGAATTTTCAATGACTCTAATCGATGTGAAAACTGCTGCAGTAGAGCATATGTGCTTAGTGGCTCCTGAGTCAATTATCCAAATATCATTGAATGATATATTACGTTCTACTGATATGGAGTAACATTTACCTGCAACACATGAGTTAATGTTGCTATCATGTCCATCGTTTGAGCTGATGTTGGTACCTTCAGCAAGGTGGTTAGATAACATCACCATTAATTGTTGGTATTGAGTTGGACTCAAATTTTGGACAAAATTTCCAACACCTGAATACTCTTTCTTGTCTTCTTTCTGACCAACAGCAGTTGTATAAGTAGAGAAGAGAACTGATTCACATTGTTTGGTCTAGAGGCATCCCTTGGCCTCACCTTAAATCTAGGAGGATAACCATGGATTCTGTAGCATTTATCAATGGAATGACCATGGATTTTGCAAAGGGAACAATAAGCTTTATCCCTTTTGAAATTTCTGGCAGTAGCTCCATATCTCATGTTATTGCCATAGTTGGCAGATCCAACCATTGATCTGCTGTTATCAGTAGATCCATACCTCATGGTATTGCCATAGTTGGCAGATCCAACCACTGATCTATTGTTATCAGTAGATCCATACCTTATGTTGGTGCCATAATTGGCTCCATACCTCATGTTATCAGCCTTTACTGCAAAGGCAACAGCAATACTCGAACCATCACCAGCATCATTATGCGTTATCTTCATCTGATTTTTCTCCTGAGTGATCAAGGCAAAAATCTTATTGATAGGAGGCAAAGGATCAGAAAGTAAGATCTGTCCCTGACTTGAGAGAAGGAATCATTAAGCCCCATAAGAAAGGACATTATATATTCCATCTGATAATGCTCATTCAATTGCTTCACGCTATCACAAGTATATCTTCCATAACTGCAATTGGGATGATAATTAGTGAGTTCTTCCCAAATTATCTTGAGTTTAGTGAAGTACACGCTCACAGTGTCATTACTCTGAGATAAATTGAAAGATGCGAGGTCCGTTTTTCTGCTGAAATCTCTCATTCAAATCATTCCAAATTTCGCAAGCGGAAGTAGCATAGATCATACTAGCTGATATGTCTTTCGAAATAGAGTTCAAAATCCAAGAAATAACTATATTGTTATTTCTAATCCATGAGTTCATCAGATCTGATTCATTGTCTTCAGGTCTGGAAATGGAATCATCGACAAAACCCAATTTATCCTTCACTGATAGTATGATAATCATTGCGTGACTCCAGGAGGCATAGTTATCTCCAGTGAGTTGCTGCGAGACCAAAATCGGTCCTGGGCTATCGGAATGATGGAGAAAAAAGGGATTAGCAGGATCATCAAAATTAGATTTCACAACGTGCCTTGCTTCTGATTGAATCTCAGGCTCCATGTTATGATTGAATGAAGTAACGAATTCAATTGAAAATCAAATAAGGAATGAGGTGGTTTTGCTTTGATACCATATCAGAATTGTGAGAGAGAAGAAGAAGAGAATCATAATTCTATTTAACTAAGAAATGAGGCGTACAACAAATCATATAAATAGCCAAATGAAAAAGGCGCCAAAAGACTAACTAACTTTTTAACTATCTAACTAATTGAAATGAATTACAATTATAATGAAATATAGAAAATAGTCTCGAAGCATCTAGAAGCAGATCTGGAACTGAATTGAAGCTTAATTTTGATATAGTCCACCATCTTCTCCTAATGGCACCGGATGAGCCCACCTAAGGCTTGACCACTTGAAAAAACCTTAAAACAAAGGCTGCATTTGTGGCCTCTTCCTCCTATATCCATCACCATTATTTTATCATCCCTACCACTATGCTCCTTTACCTCCCATTCACTACCAATATCTACTAATTCATTGATGCATTTTTCTTCTACTTCTCCCTTATTCTTCGTAATGGCATAGCAACCCTTGATATTTTTGTAACTTGCTCTGTGACCCCCTAAAGCCTGTCGAGAACCAAACACTTTCTTGCAACTCAATCACTTGAATCGGCAATTCACATTCACACTTTCACTCAAATCAACAACAGCAGTATCAGAGTATTCCACCTGTAGTCCATGGCTAACAATGCAAGCAGTAGTAACGGATGGCGAGTCAGAGGTTGCAATAGGCCAACAACAACAAGAACTTCGCACCTCGTAATCCTCCTCCATCATTACGGAAGCTTCCTCTGCTTCACTCTCAGTGACTGTGGTATCCCTTTCAGGCTTCCTAAGTTCGTGCGGAAGGTTAATGCCACGCCATTGGCCCTTGGGGTGGCAGCTCATGTGACCAGAAAGTGCCTTCCATGACCAGAACCTCTTGCCACACTCTGTGCAGGGCCTGGTGATCTTAGGTGCACTAGGATCTGGCTTCACATATTTGAGCTTAGAAATTATGGCATTAGTACAGGAAGTGGGAGAATTGTCAATTTTGATTAATTTGGTGTGTTTCTTTCGGCGGCACTTGAGAATGGTGGGAGGTGTCTCAGAGTCAAATGCTCCATCTTGAGCAGTCGACAACATTAATGGCAGGATATTCATCTCCATATGTGGATTAATAAGAGATAAGTTTGGGGAAGAAAAAAAAGAAGAAGAAGATATGAACTTGGAATCCGAGTCTCTTATGTAGCATGGACTGGGCGGTTACCAGTATGGACGACAGTTATTTTCAGTTAGAAGATCCTGCCCTCCTATCTCCTTTTGCTGTAACAAATCCAGTAAACTGCAAGAATAATTTCTGGTATATAGGAATTATTTTGACAGGGGCCTATAGCGCGGGCCCCATCCAAATGTATTTGACAAAAAATGTATATATATATATATATATATGACCCCCTCTTGTGTATAACTTGAAGCAGCCCCCTGTAATGCAAGCAGAATTCAACTGCAAACTACTACATATCATGTCATACACGTATGAACGTACCGAATCTCACTATGGTCAAGTTAAAAATCTATTTGAATAGAATAATGGGGAGGAAATTTCACAAAATGTCCACTTTTTGTGTCCATTTGAAAAATGTCAATCTTTGCAAAAATGTCCATTTTGAAAGAATTTAAACCAAAAATGTCCAATCTATAATTCCACATAAACACAAAAATGTCGACTTTATTTAAAAATTTGTTGGCCTATAAAATTTTGACATATAATCCTAACATATTTATTTCAAAAGTACA